CACGCTCCTCACCCTCTGCCAAGAGACAAAGGAGGGCCTCAGGCCTGTCCAGCAGCAGCCCTGGGGCTACCATTGCCCACCTCAGCTGCAGGCCAACTTACTTGGACCCTTCACAATGACCTTCAGCTCCCCACTGCCTGCACCCTTCGTGTACACCTTGAAGTCAGCAGTCTCCTTCACCCGCACGCCCTTGGGCTGGAGACCTCGGCCAACAGCACGGCAGGCACCCGGGTTACATGCTGTGTGCAGAGGGCCCACTAAGCCACTGGGCTGGCACAGGGTGACCCCTCCCTTGCTTCCCACAGGACTGGGCTATCAGGATGGGGGTGGGGCCCTCAGAACTTGGCCCCAGGAGGTAGTGAGGGACATGCAAGAAATGAAAGGGACTGTGACCCCAAGACCTGAGGCCAGACCAGGATGTGGTGGGCCTCCTCCCACCTGCTCCACACCAGTCTCCCACCCCGCCCAGCCCTCCTCTCCCAAAGGAAGACAGATCCAAGTACCGTTGACCCTGTGGGCAGAGCAGAGAGCAGCAGGTTTCTAGACAGCTGGAGCAAGTTCTTCCGAAGGTGAAAGCGTGAAAGAGAGATGGAGAGGGCGAAAGGAGCAGGAAGAAGGGCCCCAGCAGGGGAGGAAAGAGAGCTTACTCAGACAGTGGAAGCAGAGACCCAGGGTACCAAGGTGGGGAGGGCTGGAGTGGGATCCTCTAACTGACCCTCCCATGGGATGCCCCAGGAAGGGGGGGGGGGGCAGGGATGGTGGCCGGGACCAGCCTACCTTGGCCAACAGTAACAGTGTAGGGGCTTCGAGGGATGGGCACACCAGCAAAGGTAACGTGTACTGTGTGGACACCCTCCATGGTGGGCTGGTAGCTGCAGCGATATGTGCTGTCACCCCTGGCCTCCAGCTGAGGCTCCACAGTGCCCTTCTGTCCTGCAGGGTCCTGGATCATGACCTCTACCTCACCTGAGCCAGCTCCTGCCACAAAGCACCAGGTTAGCTCCCAGGCCCTAGTAACTCTCCCCCACCAGACCTGCCTGCCTCAGCAGCCTCCCCTGACCTGCTGTAAAGATCTCAAAGTAGGTGGTTTTGTTGGCGATGTTGCCGCTGGGCTCCAGGCCAGGGCCCTGGGCAGTCACTTTGCTGGCGTCACCCTGGGACTTGTCCACATACACCTCAAAGGGGCTCTTGGCGATATGCTGGCCAGCAAAAAGCACAGTGACCTGTTTCCAGGAGGGGCAGGCTGTGAGAGTGGGGTTGGGGCCCTGCAGGCACTGTCCCTGCCACCAGCCTCCCCACAGGCTGAGGGCTCACCTTGTGAGTCCCCGTCACCTCGGGGACATACCAGACAGAGAAGGTACGGTTCTTGTCATTATTAGCAGTCACTTTTGCCTGTGGTAAGAAGGAGCCCATGAGCCTTTGCCAAGAGCAGCCCCTTCAAATGGAGACACTGCAGTGCCTTGCCCTGCCTGCAGGTAGCCTTACCTCCTCCTGGTGTCCCGCTGGGTCCTCCACATATACCAGCACCTCTCCCTGGCCAGCACTTCTGGTCTCCACAGTAAACTCTGCTCGCTTCTTCACCATATTGCCTGTGGGCTCAATGCCTGCCAAGGGAGAATGAGAAAGGCATGGGCTAGCTGTTAGGGCCATTGCCTTACCCTTCCACCCTGTCACCCTTCAGTAGCATCTCCTTCCACAGGCTCAGCACCCCTCCCTGCTGTGGCTGTGAAATGCTCAGAACTGGGTGAGTCAGTTCAGCGTGAACTCCAGTGCACGGAACCTGGCCTTGGGCCTCAGCTGTACTTTTGCTGAGAGACAGGTTTGGGCCTGTTTCCTGGACCACTCACTTAGGTCTGCCTGGGCCCTTGCTCCTGCATGATACCCTAGCCGGGTTTTGTCTCCATTTACAGTAAAGTGGGTGGATCCTTTCTCCCTGAACATGTTCCACCTTGGGCTGATGGCTAGTTACAAGTGGCTAGTTTTGACCAGCTTTGACCCACTCCTGTCTGTGATAACCTAGCTGCCATGTGCCTAAAGACTCCCAGGGACCTCCAAATTCAGAAAGGACACTGTCCCACAGGGAGGTCAGTGAACAGGCCCATCTCCCTCACCTGGCCCATATGCTCGGGCTTTCTTTGGGTTCAGTTTGGGCCTCAGGGGAGCCCCTGGCTTCAGCTTGGCCTTGGGGAACTGGGATAGGTAGGTCATGACGGAGTGCTCATCCACATTGGGGTCCACGATCTCTTCGGGGGTGATCACCTGTCACAGTCAAAAGACAAGAGCCATTTGGCCTCCAGGCCTCAGTTTCCTACAATAAGACACCTCCCCCAACTGGGACTGTAGTACTGGACAGCCCTGGATATCCAGGCAGAGTTGTACCTGAGGGATGCCCAGCCAGTCATCAGCCTGCTGCATGGCTTCCCGCGCATTGTTCACAGGTTTGCTGGCATCCCAGGAGTCCCAATCAGGACACAGGCCTGTGGTACAAGGAAGGCTGAGTCTGGAGTCCACTGGACTCCCTTATAGGCCGTATCCACTGTCATATTCATAACCCCAGCCTCTCGCCCTCTACTCCCACACTCCTCACCTGGGGCACAGCTATCAACAAGGGCGCCTAGGGCTCTGCCACTCTGCCAGTCCCGACTAAAGTTGGTGATGGGCAGCTGTGGCAGCTTGTTCTGGATCCAGCCCAGGAGCCTCTGCTTAGGTGTTTGCTTCTTGGCTTCTTCATCCTCCTCTTCATCCCACATGGGCATGGAGATGGAGTAGTGCAGAATCAGGGTCCAGATGAGGCCCAAGATCAGCTTCAGGTTCCCATCCACGATGGCCTTGCTGTCTGTGATGAAAAAGTGTGGCAGTATTGGGCAGCAGGGGGCCGACCTGACGGTCCATGTGCACATACACACGTGCATGCACAGGCTTGGGGGGGGGGTACACACACAAGGTATCAGGTGGCTCCCAGGCAGTGGGGTGTGGCAGCACAGGGAACCTAAGGGAAGGAGAGGCCCCCTGTGGGGGTTATAGGTATTTTCAGAGGTAAAGGAGACTTCTGGGGGAGACAAGACACCTACCTATAGACATAAGGTAACAATACAGTGCAATGAGGGTTTTTGCTGGAAGCTCTCGGGGAACCAGAGGAAGGACTGACAACAGCCTCAGGCTGCAGACAGGGCAAAGGGGGAAAGCTCTGGAATGAGCAGGATGAGTGCTTTGCAGCAATCCAAGTAGGGGCCCAATACCCATCTCCAGGAGTTTCTAGGGAATAGGCAGTAGGAACAGCCCACCACTAGTGGGCCTGAATGCCAGGGCCCCTGACCTGGTGATGGCAGGGGAGGAGGAGCTGGGGCTGAAGAAGAGGAAGGCTAGTGGGTGGGGTGGTTGGGAAATACAACTGCTGCGCCAGGGTGGATGGCATGAGGCAAGGGAAGTGGAGGTGTTGGGCAAGGACCCTTTGGGTGGAGGGTGCAAGTTCCATTTTCCCCACTTCCTTAGTCTCTTCCCACCCCCCGCAAAACCAAGCTGGGAGTCAGGCAGCAATCCTGATACAAGGGAGGGGTTAGGAGCCCAATGGAACCACCAGTTGGCCCTGACTCACTGGGGCTCGGCACGATGAAGGGCAGGACACATTCCGGGTGCCCCCCTCTCCCAACCCAAGGAGGAGGGCAGAGCCATTGAGGCTGGATTGGACACCCAGGGACCAGCTTGAGAACTGGGGTGGCAGAGGCCATGGGTGGGGTCCTCAAGTCCCGCTGCCTCAGCAGAGCCCAACGGCTGCTGCCTGCCCTCCTTGCCACCTAACGGGCTGCTGGGCTGTGGGCGGGCGGCCACCAAGCTAACCACAAGGGAAGTGGTTAGGGCGGGTACCCTGCACCCTGTCACCATGGGAACCCCTCTGGGCTTTGGGACCCACCCAAGGCCCTTCTGGGTCGTAGCCTCAAGAGGTGGGGGCCTGGGAGTGGGGCTCAGAGAAAGGTCAAGCTTTCTAAGAGCTCATCTTTGAAATCCCTGCTGTCTCCAACCTACCCCCAACCCCCAATCAAGAGAATATACTTGTCTAGTGAGTCAACTTGAGGGTGGGAGAAGGGAATGGATGCCACCAAAAGGGCAATCAATAGTGAACGGCCTCTGAATCCAGTAGGTAGCAGCTGAGGACCAGCTGAGCCACTCAAAGTAGAGTAGCCTCTGTTCCAGATTGAGGTTGGTCAGGGTCCCGCATCACTGACTTGCACTGTTCCCAAATGGTGGGAAGGTGGAGGGGGGCTTCAGGTTAGGGGTGACTAGAAACTTCAAAGAAGACCAAACACACAGGACCAGCCAGGGTTTCCACCAGGCCCCCATCCCGAGTCCTGAGGAGGCCTGAGGCCTGCTTTGACCCAGAAGGGGACACAAAAGGCCAAGCTCATCAACCCTGGTGGGTCGGGTTGGGCCCACCCCCTGGTCCATAGGAGGAAGGCCTAGGCCCTCCTCTCTCCACTTATAAAAGAGTAAGGGGAAGGGCCCAGCTGGGTTGAGAGACTGCCTGGTTGGACGGCCCCGCCCCATCCCACCCCCTTCTCCAGCCCCTAGGCCAGCCTGCCCCCTCCCTCCCCTAATCACTGCTGCTTTCCAACATTTTTTTGCCTTATATGGCAAAGCTCTGGGAACTAGGCCTGCTCCAGCCAGCTCAAAAGAGAAGGGAGGAGGAGACCCCCCCCCCAGACAGCTGGGGTGTGGCCCGCCTCCCCACATCCGGTTGCCCCCCCACCCAAGGCTCAGAGATGACTCAGCTTGGCTAGACAGAGGCTGGGGCTGGGGGGTGGGCCTCAGCCTCCAAAGGCATTCCAAAGAAAGAGGTGAGGCCCTTGAGACCTGCCCTCTAAGTGGTTGGAAGCACCTGAATCTTGGTCTCTCACTTTCTCAGGCTCAGCATGGAGCATGCCAGGGCCAGGGGGCCACCTGTAAGGCCCCTTTCAATTCTGAAAAAAAGTCATGTCCCTTCTTCTCTCTCTGTTGTACATTGCCCCCAAGTCACCAATTCTGGTGCCTGTCCCTGAGTGGGTTCCATCTTAAGAGCCAGGGATGCTGCAGTAGGCCCGGTCAATGCCAGCATCACCAGCCCAATGACACGGACACTGGGCTGGCGGTGAGCCCAGCACACGCTGGAGTACCTCCCAATCAACTCCTGCATTCTAGAGGCTTCAGAAAAGCTAAGTCCTACATGGAAACAAAAATTTGGCCCAAGATCAACAGTAACTCCGTGTCTCAGTCGTCTACAAACCAGCTCCCTTCACTGGCTGACGCCCAGACTCATCTCAGGTACTGTTTTGCTAGCCATGGTCTTCTCTGGCCTCCTCAGTTCCCTAGGGGAGATCTAAACTGGGGGTTAGAGCCATCTCCAGTGGGAGGGGGCAACTTCTAGGGCCAGAGAAAGCCGAGAGCCCTAAACAATGGAACCCACAAGCTCCAACTCCCTTGTTTAGGAACCACAGGGGCGCCTGAAAGCCAGAAGGCCCTCTCCAAACTGCTGTAGGAGGTAAAGAAACCGGGCCTCCCCCAGCACAGGGATGGGGCACTGGCGCAGGGCCAGAGCCTGGCCAGTGCCCACCCTCCAGGCCCTCTCCCACAGCAAACGAAGGGGCGGGCGAACGGCCTTCGGAGGATGTGAGCTCAGTCTGGGCGCGGGCCAGCCGGGGCGCGGCGGGCGGGGGCGCGTAGCGGTCCGCACAGCAGTCCAGCCAGCCTGCCAGCGCGCCTTTGTTCTCGAGGCCCACGCAGAGCTGGGCAGCCGGGGGGCCCGAGAAAGACCACAACTTAGGGAGTGTGGCTGGGAGGGGTCTACCCTGGGGAGATGGGAGGACACGCGGAGCCCCCACCCCCACCCTCCCGGCGCCAAGGGGCAGCACGCGCCCTCACCGATGGACACGAGCTTGATGCTCTCGCGGTCCAGGAATTCGAGCGCTACTGACACGTTCTCGAGCTGCATCTGGCGGAAGGTGGGCCTCTGGTTGTGCTTGCGGTGCATCTTTTTCTGGCTGAGCACCTCCAGCAGTGCGATAAGCCGCAGCCCGTCACTCAGGTCCGTCTGGAGGTTGGCGATGCGCTTGCTCACGCATTTGAGGTGCTCGTTGCACCAGCGCGTGAACGTGTTCTGCTGGATCTTCTTCCACGGTGCATCCTCCGCCAGGTCCTTCTCAGTGGCCGGCATCTCGGCGTCTCGCGTGTCGGTACCGCCACCCGGAGCCGCGCCCGCCGCGCTCTGGCCCGCTCGGGAGTGGGAGCTACTCATTTTGAGGCGCGAGGAGCCGAGGGGCGGTGCTGCAGCCTAGGCGAGGGGACGGCCCTTTAATTAAAGTCGCAGGCACTCCGGTGTGCAAGGGGCGATGCAGACAGCGGAGGTTGCGCTGTGGAGAGAGCGAGCCCTTTAAATGCGGGCTGGGGGCGTGGTCGCGACGGGGCGTGGCCTTGGGTGGGGTTTGGGGCCAGCCCGCCCCGCCTCGCCCTTTGGAATGCCCCCTCCAATGCCCCCTGCCCGGGCCGCTTGAAGCCGACCCCTCCATGCTCCGAGGAGGTTTTGTTGGACCCCAAATGGGGCAAGGATGTACTGAAGTCCCACAGCCTCAAGCCAGCGCTACAGAAAACGCTGCAGCGAGGCAAGGCTGAGCAGAATCTGGCCCTGGACCATTTGGTCTCCAGCGAATACGCCATACAAGGGACTTTCCTTCCCCATGCCCCTGCGGGGGGTAGCGATGGCTTGCCCTCCCTGAGTCACGTGGGCTCCGCCCCATCCCCGCAGCCCAACTCTGACCCCACCCACCAGGGCTCCAGCGTCTGGGGTTCCCCAGCCACACCCTGTCCGGTGCCCCGGTAGAAGCGGGAAGGGGCCCGATCCTAAGGGTGAGCTTTTGAAGAGCACAGGTCTCAGGCCAGCCGCTGCTGTGAGCACTTTGAACACTTGCACCCCACCAAAGAAGTGGCCACTGGTAGAGGCCCGACCCTAGACTGCCCCCCAGACCCTCAGCCCCAGGCCAGGCATTCCGCTCTGCACAACTCTGGCCTGTGCACCTGCGCCTGCATGTCCCAACCGCTTCCCTCCCTCCCTGCTCCACCCAGGAGGAAATGGGGCACTAGGCCAGGAGGCTGCCAGCACTCCAGGAGCAAGCAGTTTTGAAAGGGGCCAGGCATGCCAATGGGCATTGGCAGAGGGCACCATGTGATGTGTGCACGAACAGCAAGTGTCTACCTGGGGTAGCTGTCCACCTGGGGCACTAGGGTTTTCCTCTCCTGTCTGAATGGCCTCTGAGCCCAGTGTGACCCAGGAGGCAGCCAGGCAGGGGTCCAGAGGGGCCCTTCCAGACCCAGAGTGGCCTGCTGAGGGCTTCCAATAAGGCTTTGTAGGCTCTGAGCACCTGGGTCTGGGTGGGCTTCAGTGCTGTGGCAGTGCAAAGGCCCCCCTCCAAGAACAGGGGGCCCCAGGGGACTGAGGAGGACAAACCACAGAAGGCTGCCAAGGCCGGCTGAGGAGCCTGGACTTTGTCCCAGGGCAATGGTGAACCATTGGTCAAAATTAATTTTTTCTTTCTTCTTCTTTTTTTTTTTTTGGTGGTACGTGCCCCTAGCAGGAACTGAACCCGGGACTCTGGTCCGCAGGCCAACGCTCAACCACTGAGCCAAGCTGGCCAAGGCTCAAAATTAATTTTCTAATAGATAACTCTGGAGATAGTGAAGAGGCTGCTGTGGGGAGACAGACACCAGCAAGAGGCCTGTTGGAGACACTCACTACCATCCTCTTTAGTCAAGAGAAGCCAGCCTACCCATGGCTTCATCCCCAGAGTGGGCTTAGTCCTCCCAGTCCCATGTACCTCGCCTCTCCAGGATGTCCACTTCTTTAAGTCTCTGTCCCTCCTGCTCGATTCTTAGATTGAGCTGCAGACTAGTTATAATTTCTGCTAAAGACCAGTGGGACACCAGGCCCTGGTTCAGCCAGCATGTCATGTCCAAATATGGCTGACTTGCATGACTGTCTGTATTATCCACGTTGGGGCTATGGTCCCAGCTGGCATCTTCCCTGCCCCCCAGCACATTCACTTTGGGGTTATCTGTCACCTGACTGGTTTTTCCCACCAATGGTGGTGTGGTAGGGACTCCAAATGCCATTTTCCCATCTGAGGCCCACCTCCTGTGCACTCTTCCCTCTCCTGAGCATTTTCAACCACACCTGCACAAAACTCCATACCTGTGTCTTGGGAACTGGATTGGAGGTGGGAGGGAGAGCTGTGAAGGGGGAACCCTGATGGACCCCTCCCTGCCAGGCACCATTCAAGACAGGCTAAATTGTCCTTCTTCTCCCCCTGCCTCACTGGAAAGCAAGTTCCCAAGGACAGCATTACATCAACAATTGGTTTTCTTTTCATTAAGTGCCATCCAACTGGATCATCTGTGTTCATTTCTTAATCTTCAGATAATAGGGGAACTGAGTCAGAGGAACTGACCAGTAGTCAACTCCAAGAGAAAGGTGGACAGAAGCTAGGTGTCCTGGTTTCCAGCCCTGGGCTTTCCCTATCTGGGGGAGACAGGGATGGGGTGTAGAGGGTTCTTGTCCCTAGGGTACATAGTATCACCACTAGATGGCGTCTCATCACAAAGCCCCCAGATCAGGCAGTCTGGAAGCCTAAATCCAGCTCTTTCATATTTTCCCTTATTTGGAGTAGATTCTTGGATGTTAGACACGCCCCACTCCCACCCACCCCACCCCCAGCCCTGAGACCCCAGGCCAGGCCCTCCCACAGGGGTGCTTCAGCTGGTGAAGAAAGCATCGGAATGGCACAGTGAGAAGAGATCTGGTTTGCCAAGGCAAGTCCAGATGCTGCAGGTGAGGGCACTAGTTTCCTGAGCTCCCACCTTGACCATGCAGCCTAGAGCACGTACTGGTGGGCCTGCCATTGGACTTCACCTACTTTTCCTGGACCTGGGAATCTGGGTACATTGTTGCTCACATCCTGGCTGGCAGTGAACATTCAGCTCAGAGCCAATCTGGGACAGGGCCCAGCCGAGGAACCTGGCCTGTCTGAGGAAATCCTGCTTTTTGTACCTGGCTGAAGCCCTGCCCCAGCCCCCATGGAGTGCAGCAGCCCTGGACCAGCTTCCCTGTGCCCAAGGCAGCGGGTGCCCTGAGGATTGGGGCCAGCGAAGAACCTCCTAGGGGGCACACTGGCTTCTAAGTGTCCTTCCAGGTGGCCACTCACCTTCAGCCCACACTATTTCCTGCTCTTGGGGCTGTTTTAAAACCCAGTTATGCAGTGGCCAGCTCATGGGCAGCCACATGAGCCCATATCCTGCCAGGCGCTCAGACACCCTCTCTCTCAGGAACCCCAGTGGCTTTGGGCTCCTACACCCCTGAGTACAGACACAGCTTCACAGGTACACTAGGGAAAGTAGTCTCTGGGTACCGCACTCCCAGGAGCACAGCGCCCACACACCCCAGCTGCACTGGGCTTGGTCTTGGGTGCATGCTGGCGTCTGCGTTTTCGGGGCTTCTCCGCTCTCCTTCTCCACCCCCACCCCGAGTCCGCGAGTGGCACAGTGACGGTCCTTCGCGGAGACCCGCCGCGATGCCTCACCTGCAGTCCCTGTGGGCAGTCCGCAACCGCAGGGTGGCGCCCGGCTGGCCTTCGCGCCCGCGCCCGGCGCCTCGGGGCTCCGTTGGCGTCTGCTGTGCGCCCCGCGCCTCTACTCGAATGGGCCGCTGCCGCTTGCCTTCTTGTTGGCCGCACCCCCGCCCCGCGCCCGCCCTGCACCCAGCCCGGCCCGGCCCGGCGAAAAAGCCTTAATTGGTAAAATCGCCCAGGAGTGGGGAAGGGGGGCTGGCGGGGGCGCGCCGTGAGCTCAAGTACCCCCCCCCACTTCGATGAGCTCACTACCCGTCGAGGCTGATTGAGGAGGGGGGGCTGGGTTCATCTAAAGAGCCCGCGGGTTCTGCAGGGCCAGGTCTCAAAACAGCCCGAAAAGCCACCTCCTCCAGGGAGCCACCCACAGTCACGGGCCCCTGCCTTTGCCCCAAGCCTGGACTGGCCAGGCAAGAAGAATTCTGCCCTTTGGGGTGGAGGGGAACAACAGGACTATGCAGGTGTCCACTGAATGCTTACCACCCTCAAGGCCCCAGTGGGGCAGGGACCCAAGCCCAAGGATGAGCAAGCAATCCAGCTGCCACTGATTTGGCCCTTGCTGGGTGCCAGGCCTGCCCACTGCAGCAGAACTGTACTGAATTCTTAGGAGCACGATCAGGTGCAGTCCCCAAGCCTGGGAGTGTACAGTGAGATGCAGCCAAAGAGCCATGTTTGTGAGCTGGATGGGTACAGCCACGCCCTAACTCTGCCAGGCTCCCTCTTCCTCTTCTGTGTGCCCATTTCCTGGTAGCTTCAGATTCAGCTTAAATGTTACTTCTGAGGAAGACCACATAAAGCAGTGCCATTTTAACATTTTGCTCACAATAAGAACCACTTTTAATATCCTGAGCCAGTATGTGTAGACGTACACACAGACTGACACAAATACCTGAAACAAACATTTCACAAAACTACCGTCCCTTAGTACCCGCAAAACACTTTGGTATTTACTATTCTACTTTATTAAAAGAGAGGAAGGGATAAAGGGAGAGGAAGGAAGAAACTTGGTCACACCTGCTAAATTAATTTGGTGATCTACAGTTTAACACAAATGGGAAGGTGCTGATCACCCTCCAACCCTCCCTTGTATCCACTGCTACCTTTGGTAGCTCTGCTAGCAATGACCTTTCTACCTAGACCCATGGTGGGGTCTCCTAGCAGTGCTGGGGTTTCCATCTCTCACTGCTCCCTCTGGTGGGATCCCCACAACCACCACTGGAGAATGCAGTGGATTATCATCACTTGATAGATGAGTGGCCTGAGTTCAGGCCCATTAGGTGGCTGTGCTGGAGCTCATGGCCATGGCTGTCCTTCAAGGAGGGAAGCTTACCTACCACAGGCATTGCCAGGGGTACAATAGGTGAGGGGGTGTGAAGGAGACAGTGGTCTTGTGGCTGGATTTCCTGACCCCCACTTTCATTTGAATCCTCTCTTTACACTTCTGCCTCCCTCCCCCTCCATATAAACCTCCTCCACACATCCAGTTCTTGGTCTCTACTTTTTTCAGGTCTAGGGGAAACAAAGATTTGTACAGCACCAGCTATTTCCTGGTTTGTTTGTTTTTTAATGTCATAAATGAAAGACCTTTTCTCCTCATGTTGAAGGTTTTGGAAAACCACTAGAATCAGTTCCATTCCTCCTGCTGCCAAGGCAGGCTGACTCTTCAACTGGCTGTGCCAACAGCTCCTAGATGAACCTATGTTCTAGGGTTGGAACACAAGGTGTTCTTTTAGAGGCTTTTGGTTAGCTAACCATTCACTGTTTTACATTATCTTCCACACATACATTTTCACAATAATCACCATCTTATGACTTTTGTTACTATCTGAGCTGTTTCAAAGCATTCAAATATTGGTAAAACCCTAAGGATCTCTAACACCCTTGAAAATTTAAGTTTTGTCCAGCGCTAAAGTATTGAGAAAATTCTGATCTTACGGAAAACATTAATAGTTCAGGGAACAATCGTGTCTCTGGACGTCAATGCAAAGAAATGTATTCATGTCGATATTATTTTTCCTTACAATTTTCGATCTGGCTGGGATTGCAAGTTATACAATATACTGCTTAGAAGCCATTCCCCATTCTTAAAGGAGAAACTGTCTTCCTACTCTTGACTTGGACTCAGTGGCTTCCTTCCTAGCCCTTTCACCATGGCTGTAGTTCCATAAAAACTCTTCTCCTTTAATTCTGCCCACCCTTCCCAGGAAGACTCCCATGGAGGCCCCAGATTTCCTCCAACAGCCCCTCTGAGGACTTGGAACCCCTGCTTGGCCATACTGTCCAAGTCATTGGCACAAGGGCTAGGTAACGGCTGGAGGAACAGTCCATGAATGAATCGCTGCACTTGCGGCCCTTGGGCAGGCCTCCTCCCTCTCTGGTCTACCAATTTCTCCTTTATGTGATAGGGGTGAGGCAGAGGGCCTTTCAGCTCTGTTGGTCAAGGGCTGTCCCTGGTTTCTGGTGGTCTGGGGTGGGTGGGGCTGTGCTTGGGCTTCAGGAGCCCACAGGGTGGGCACAGGGGACCATCACAGTTCAGTCTCTTAGTTCCATCTGTGGTGGAACCTCAAAGTGAGACAACAGTGGGGGACATAATAGGCAGAGTGCTGAGGCAGGTGCTGGGGGAGGGGGTGTTCCTTGGGGAGAAAGCAGACCTAGAATTCCTTGACCTCATAAGGAAACAGCTTGGATGCATACAGGGAGGGGTGGCATGGGGGAAGACTGGGCCTCTGGGACTTGGGCCAACATTACAGAAGAAGGCTTGGAGAGGTGCTGGGGAATCTGATCTTGCCAAAACTCAAAATTCCACGAGGCAATCTTTGAGCAGACCAGAGCCCAAACACCATATCTCCCTGCTCTGAAGCCATACACATATCTATATCTGGGGACCCACACACCTCCTCCTCATCTTTCAAGAGACACAGCAGTTCCCACCTTTACTTTAAAACCAAGTCAACAGTAACTCTTCTGAGGGTCTTTGTGTGTGGTTAATCCAGGGCCCCATCTCTTTACTACTCCCTGTGTGACCTCTTCTCCCCTCCATGGAGAACTGATCTGTGACCCTCACCAGCTGGGCCAGCCAGCCTGAGTCTGAACCAGAGTCCTCCTCTCTTCTGCTCTCCATCCATCACCAGCTGTCATCTATGAGACCAGGGACAGCAACTCATCTCCCTATGTACCCAATTCTAGGCCTGCCCAGGGAAGGACACCTCAGTTGGCCCAACACTCCACTGGCTGTCTGTTTCAAATTTCCATGGGACAGTTTTCCAATCTCCACTGGGCAGCTCTTTATTGACAAAGGCCTTATCAACACCTAGTGACAGCCCAGTCTTGGTGCTTTCTGTGGTTTGCTCCCCACAGTACCTGGGCCCCCTGTACAGGGAGGGGGTGTGCTGCATTGCCACAGCACTGAAACCCACCCAGACCCTGGTGCTCAGAGCCTGTAAAGCCTTATTGGAAGCCTTCAGCAGGCCATTCTGGGTCTGGAAGGGCCCCCCCCCCCCCCGGCTCCCTACCTGGCCACCTCCTGGGTCACACTGGGCTCAGGGGCCATTCAGACAAGAGGAAAACCCTAGTGCACAAGGTGGACAGCAACCCCAGGCAGACAGACACTTGCTGTCTGTGCACACATCACATGGTACCCTCTTGCCAGTGCCCACTGGCATGCCCAGACCCTTCCAATGCTGCTTGCTCATAGAGTGCTGGCAGTCTCCTGGCCCAGTGCCCCATTTCTTCCTGGGTGGAGCAGGGAGGGAGGGAAGCGGTGGGGACCGCGGGGCGCAGGTGCACAGGCCAGAGCTATGTAGAGCGGAAAGCCCGCCGGCCAGAACAGGGGGGTCTGGGGGAAGGCCTGGGGGGACAGCCTAGCTACCTGGGGCCGCTTCCCAGGTGCCCGCTCAAAGCACTTGCAGCAGCGCCTGGCCCGGGACGCGCACTCTCTGGATCGAGCGCCTTCCCGCAACTGCCCGGGCGGCCTGCTGGGGTGCAGCGGGGGTACCTCAGATTCTGGAGCCCGGGGTCAGCGGGGACTGTGGGGAACAGGCAGGGTCCACGTGACTCAGAGAGGGCAAGCACTGCCTTGCGCGCTGGCCCCGCCCCGCCCCCAGGCCGGTTTCTGCCGGTTCCACTCGCTGGGGCCCTACTCCTCCTCACTTCTCGCCTGAACACACCAGCGGGTGACGTCTGAGCTCGCTGGTCCCACCCCGCTCCGTGTACTGGCGAGTCTACTCTAATTTCCCTCGCACGCAGACCCCGCCCCTCTCTCACGTCTAGCCTAAACTCCCTAGTGTGTGACGCTTTGCTTGTCGACCCCGCCTTTTCCCCTGGGCGCTCAGCCCCTGCTCCCACAGTCCAACCCGTATGCGCTGCTTTGGCTTCCGCTCATCCCCCCCTCGCCCCGCCCCTCTTTCGCCTCTAGCCAATCCCGCCCATTTGTGATGTCTGGGCTCACCAGCTCCGCCCCGCCCACTCCCAAGGCAGTGCTGGTCTGTGCAGTTGCATCCTAGCGGACTGGCTCCGCCCTGCGCGGCGCGCGCAGCCCGCGACTGTGACGCGAGCGTGACGCGAGCGTGACGCGTGTGCTGCCGCTCCCGAGGCACTCGCGCTGCCACCGCTGCGCTTCGAGGCAACCGTAGCTAGGCCTGTGTCGCCAGACCCGGGCTGCTACTAGGTTCTCGCCACCCGCCATGGATGACTACGCGGTCCTGTCGGACGCTGAGTTGGCCGCTGTGCTGCGCCAGTACAACATTCCGCACGGGCCTGTAGTGGGTACGCGGCGGCGGCGGCGGCGGCGGCGGCGGGCGGCGGGCGGCGGGCGGGCGGCGGGCGGGCGGGCGGGCGGCGGGCGGGCGGGCGGGCGGCGCCCTCCCCTTTCCCGGGCCCTAGCCCGCACTCCGCGCCCCTTCCTGGGACTCCCTCCCCAGGTTCCGGGCCCACCTCCCTGACCACCCCGCACCTCGTGTCTGGCCAGGCTCCACTCGCAAGCTCTACGAAAAGAAAATTTTCGAGTATGAGACCCAGAGGCGGAGGCTCTCGCCCCCGAACTCGTCCGCATTTTCATACTCCTATCGGCTCTCCGGTGAGGCCCCCCCACCCCAGAGCCCCACCTGGCCACCTGTGGGAAAGGGGTTTGGGCAATAGGGAGGGTTGGGTTGTGCGGGTGTGGCAGGGACGCTGGACAGGAGGGGCATGGGGAAAAGAGTTTGGGGGCAAATGGTCCTGCTCCCCCACCATTTAGACTCAAATTCAGCATCGGTGGACTCGGATATGTACGACCTGCCCAAGAAAGAGGATGCCTTACTTTACCAGAGCAAGGGTAAGGCAGCGGTGGGGTGGGCCCTGACATCTTCATTCCATTCCCTCAGGTACCCCAGTGTCAGGGAGAACCTGAGACCTCAGTCCCCACTGCCCCTCACCAGTGCCGGAGGGGAGAAACTGTGTCACAGGTCCCAAATGGGATTCAGATGAGGGCCATTGGGCCAGGTGGGGGATACCGTTGCCCCCTCTACTACCACTGTCTCCCCCCCCCCCAAGGCTATAATGATGACTATTATGAGGAGAGTTACTTGAGCACCAGGACTTACGGGGAGCCTGATTTTGGGGGCACATCCAAGGGCTTCCGCCAGCCCTCCGCTTCACTCTCAGATGCTGACACCTTTCACCACCAGGTGAGTTAGTTGTTGGGCACCCTGTACTTGGGTACAACCTCAGGGGATCATAGCTGGGTTTGGATAAATCAAGAGGGCACCTGGGTGCAAATGGTGGCTTTCAAGCCTCTAGGGAGAAATGGGATCAGCAGACACCTGCCTGGTCAGGGCCTTTCTTTGGGGGAAGGGGGCTGTCAGAACTGGTTGACTAGAGCACATGGGACATGCTCTGCACCCTGGCTTAGGACCTAGGTTTGAGCTCTTTCTGAGAATCTTGAGACAGAAAGTAGGGTGCGGGCAGCCCAGACAGTTACTGGCAAAGCTGCATGAACATAAGGCCAGGAACTCAGAAGAGTTCTGGAGCCGGGCAGGGCCCTGGCCTTTAAGCAGTGGCCAGAATAGGCCAGCCAGGGAAATTTGGACTGAGATAAGACAGGACCACACTGACCCAGCCAGTCAGTCTCTTCGCCCTGATTCTCTTCTTTAGGTTCGTGATGACAATTTTTTCTCTTCAGAAGAGGAGGGCAAGGATAGGTGAGTAGTGGAGAGGGCCAGGGACCAGGACTGATTCTGGGCCCAGGCCCTCCTGGCCCATCTATTCCCCTCTTTGCCTCAGGGAACGCCCCGTGTATGGCCGGGACAGTGCCTACCAGAGCATCGCGCACTACCGCCCCGTTTCCAACGTCTCCAGAAGCACCCTGGGCCTGTCCTATTATCCTACACCCTCCTCCACCTCTTCTATGTCCTCATCTTCATCTCCCCCACCCTCATGGCTTGCCCGCCGTGCCATCCGGCCAGAAAAGCAGGCTGCTGGGGCTGGTTTGGGCCAGGACCGCCAGGTCCCACTCTGGGGCCAGCTGCTCCTTTTTCTGGTCTTTGCTGCCTTCCTGCTCTTGGTTTACTACTCTATGCAGGCTGAGGATGGCAACCCCTTCTAAGGAAACACTTGAGGGTCTGGCTGGCTTGGTGGCCAGCTGCTCTTGGAAGTGCTGGCCAACTGCCTTAGCAGTGTGTTTTGGGGGAGGGGGGAGGGGGCTTTTTTGTGTGTTCTAACTTGAGGGCACTGGGCATGGCCTGGGGCAGTGCTTGCTCCCCCTGCCTTGTCCTGCCTTGTCCTGCCTTGTCCTGCTATGGAGGCAGCAGACCCAGGCCTTCTGGAGCATGGTGGGCCTGGGTGGGCCTTCCTCCTGACCCTGCTTGCCTCTGACCCTTAGGGCCCAGGAGGGTAAGACCCTTTTCCTGGAGAGGAGAACATAGTTGTTGTCATTGCATGCCTCCTGTTCTTGTCACCTTGTTGGGGGGATTAACCAAAGGCCACCCTGACTTTTGTTTTCGTGGACACACAATAAAAAGACAGTTTATTTTTAATGTGTGGGCTCTTCCTGCTGGGGGAGGGGTTGGGCTCCTCTGTGTGGGGCCTCCACCCTGGGTCTCTAGGATCACAACCTGGTTTTGTTGGTTCTCCCATTTTGCTTTGGACTTGAGGTAGGGATCACATTCTACCCACAGACACGTTTGTGCTTTGCTTGCGGAATCCACCGCCAGACTTCTCATAACTACTTATGAAAATAACTGTGGCACCAGAGGGTATAGAAAGCCTAGTTGGAAATGCGGGTGAGGCTGCATGCACAATGCTGGCTACAGATGTTTTAACCAGGAAGAGCTGATGTCAACCTCGGTGTCGAAGGGCAGCATGTACTCGGTGGGCCTTTTCTTCTGGAAAGCTGGTTGTTTAATGACAAGGGGAAGGCTCTCAGTACCCTGAAATGCTCCATCATCTCTGAGTAATCTGATTCTTCAACTGACTATATTTCTTTTTGTTGCTGTTGTTAATTCTTACCCACGGATATTTTTCTATAAATTTTTTTTAGGTAGAGTAGGGGGGGGGGCAGAAATATCGATGTGAGAGAGACACATTGATTGGTTGCCTCCTACATGGCCCTGGTGGGGCTCAGGGATCAAACCTGCAACTCAGGCATGTGCTCTTGACCAGGAATCGAACCCATGGCCCTTTGGTCTGTGGGCTGATGCTCTAACTACTGAGGCAAACTGGCCAGGGCCTGACTATTCTTGTTTATCTCCAAGTTTTATGTCATGGATATTTCATAATTTTCAAGTGTTACACATATTTTTTAAAGTGGGTACTAAGGAAACCCAGGGTAGAATGCCGTGTGAGGCTGTACATCCTAGTGGTATGCTGCCAGCAAAGTTTGGGAAAGCATATAGGGGCTGGCATCTGCCCCATGCGGGCAGGTGGGAAGCAGAGGTGAGGCCAGGGCTTCCAGAACAGGCGGGGCCCTGGCATCACTGTCTCACTTCTGACTGGCTCCTTGCTGCAGATGGTAGGACTCAGCAGCCCCCAGCCTCTGACCTGGCACAGTGGCTGTGCAGCACCAGCATGTGCACCCATGCTCAGGTCAGGGCTGGGACTGGGACCCACTTACCCCCAGATCCTAGTCATTTCTCTTTGCTGTATCTTAGTCTCTCCCCACATTTTGTGTGTGTTTTCTTAAATCTAACACATGCTTTTACAAAAGAATGAAAAAAATGACTTCTATTATTTTTTTTTTATCTTCACCCGAGGACATTTTTCGATATTTCGTTCAGCTAGAGTGGGAGGGAGGGAGAGAGAGAAACATAGACGTGAAAGGGACGCATCGAGTGGTCACCACCCACACGACCCAACCAGAGCTGGGGACAAACTGCAACCGAGGTATGTACCCCTAGCGGAAACCGAACCCGGGTCTCTCCAGACCGCAGGCTGACGCTCTAACCACTGAGCCAAACCAGTCAGGCCTATTTTTCTTACCACTCCCACAGCTGCAGCCTCACTTGTTTGCTGCCAGTCACTCCCACCTGGCTCATCCCCAAGTGCACAGCCACCTGTGGCATGGACTCCCCAGACCTCCAGGCTGCCCCTCACCATCCCAGTGCAAGGGCTCAGACCTGGATGCTCCAGGGGGAGGGGTGTAGGCAGGGGCAGGGAATACTGCTTCATCACTGACAATAAGGCCTGATGGTCAGATCAGTGAACCTGTATGAGGGGGAGGGGCAGAACAAATAGGTTGCTAGTGTACCAGGACCCCAGAGGGACACAGTGACACAGCTTGTTTCAGCAACTGATCCCAAATCAAGTAGGTTAGGGGGAACCCCTCACAAGCATTACCTGGGCCTGCTGTTGCAATTGAGAGGTAGGTGGACCCTAGCAAACCCCATGAGGGGCCTGGGGAAGCGGCAAGATTGATATGCCATAGCTCTGGAGTGGCTGGAGTGGAGAAAAAGGACAGCATGAGAAGAAGGGGAGCTGGGCTTGGGGCATCCCAAGGAAGGGAAGAAAGATGGCATGGCTTCCAAGTAGAATGGCTCTAAGTCTCTGGTCTCCATCTGTTTCAGGAAAGCGGTGGAAGCTAGATAGGTATGTTTCTCTACCTTAGGTGTCTGGCATGAGAAAGAGGCAACATCCACGTGACATAGTATCTCCCTTTTCATTTATTCCCCAAGGGCAACCACATCCATTCATCACCATGGGCCAGATGACTGCTGAGAGTTCCTACCCAAGGGGCTTCAAGTCTCCTGCCCCAGGGCTCTGAGGACATCCCCCTCTTGAGGAGTCCGGATTCCCATCCCAGGACTCTCCCCTCAGGCTTGGTCTCATTCCCTGGGGCTTCATGGGAGCCTGAGTGCTCTTGCACCCCTCCGATGGTCCTAAGGGCTCTATACACGCAACCCCCTAGAGCTCTGGAGCTCCATAAGGGCACTTGAGTGTTCCCTAGTACTCTGGGCACCCCAACCCAAAGGCTTTTGAGGGCTCCGGGCCTCCAAGGGAGTCCCAGGCTTGAAGGTCTTCACCTAGTATTTTCCAGGGCTCTGGGAATACTTCCTTCAAACTCCAAGGGGACTCCCCTCCCAAAAGCCCCTTAGGGCTCTGGGGTGCCCCCTGTACAGCAACTGATGGCTCCAGTACTCAACACTGCAGGACTCAGGCCCCTTGTCCACTCCCCTCATTCCCTCCCAAGGGCTCCAGCAGTGCTGCGGACACAGCAGGGGGCAGCAGTTGCCTGTGGCCCAGCAGACCATAGCTCTACTTCCATTGGTTATACCACCTGAATTGGGGACTATTGGGGCATTGGACAGAGCACTATGGGCAGTGTAGGTGGCTATGGGAGGAGCTGAGTTGCACCGTTGGGGAGGGAGGGAGAGAGAAGACTACCCTGCTGATGGGGCAAAGGGTGGAGGCCAGAAGCACCACTCCTGACCACCCCCATGAACTTGGTCCTCTGACAGTTTCAGGGGAAGCAGCAGACAGCACTGGTCAGGCCCAGAGGTGCCCTTGCCTTAACCCCCATGCTGCACAACAGCCAGCTGTTGAGCTGGAGAACAAGCCTACTCAGCCATTGGGGTTCCAGCACCAAGCAGGCAGCCTGTAGGGGGCGTGCAGGAGGCAGCTGATCGATGTTTCTGTGTCACATCAGTGTTTCTCCTTAAAAAAAATTTTTTTTCCAATGGAAAATATAAAATAAAATTATGTATTAGTTTCCTGTTGCTGTATAACGATCGCCCGAAACATACGCCCTGCTGCAACTAACACTTGTGATCTCCCAAGTGTCCCATGGACTGGATGCTAGAGGGCTTGGCTGGGGAATTCTGGCTCAGGGTCTGTCACAGGCTGTAGTCAAGGCATCAGCTGGGCTGCAGCCCTCTGGTCTACCTGTTGGGGGTGAGGCTGTGCTTCCTAGATCACTCACGTGACTGTGGCAGGGGTCTCAGTGTCTCCCCACAGGGCCTGGCCAGAGGGCTGCTCAGGGCAGGGCTTCCCCAGAGCCAAGGGAGAGGGGTGAGTGGCCCCGAGATGGAAGACATGGTTTTTATCACTTTATTTCTAAGTGACCTTCTTTCAGCTCTGCCTGGTTTGGCCCATAGACCAATGAGTCACGGGTTCAATTCTGGTCAAGGGCATGCACCTCAGTTACAGTTTGGCCCTGGCCCTGGTCAGAGTCATGCGGGAGGCAACCAGTTGATGTGTCCCTCTCACATTGATGTTTCTCTCTCTCTCTTTCTCTCCCTCTCTCACTCTGTCTAAAGATAAATAGAAAAATATACTCGGGTGAGGAATAAAAAAAAAAAAGAAGACAGCCCAAGGGATGGACAGCCCAAGGCATGCACATCCTATGGCTCCATGGGGATGTACCACCAGCAGCTCTGAAGGCCTTAAAGGACTGGAAATTGACAGTATATTTTCACTGTTACTGCTCCTGGGGCTAGACTTCCGCCCTAGGATCTGGGTGGCCAGTCTCAGGAATTACTTTGGCCCCAGGGAAAAGTGGACACGACTGAAAAAGTCAGGCCCTGTCCCCAGGCTACCAGTTCTCTCTCTCACTGTCATCAAGGCTGGGGATGGAGGGAGGCAGATGCACTCTGGAGTCTTCTATGAGCTGTCCAGCTGGAGAGGGGACAGGACGAGGCAGGACCAGGTCCAGAGAGGTCCAGCACCAGTGGGAGAATAGAGAACCTCCCGGGGCACCCTTCTCCCTGTGCCCACTGGACACCCAGGACTCTGCACACACAGGACACACCTCCCTTCCCTGAAACACCCAGAGCCTCCTGCCTCCTCCCTGGGCTGGCCCCTCCAAGAGGAGACAGTCCTGCCCCCATACTCTCCCAACTGCCTGCCTGGTGGGACCCCCACGGAGACAGCCCCAGAGCTGAGCCCAGCTAAACAGGAGTCCCTGACCCCTCCCAGAGGCCACATTACACCCAGGCAGCTGTGATACATGTGGAGTAGCAATGACAGAAAATGCCCAAATGGGGGGAAACAGACCACTGCAGACCACCCTGGACAGAGGTCACAGGACAGATCAGGCCCGAGCCTGAGACCCGCCGAGGCACGGGGAACAAGGGAGTGAGAATGGGGCACTGTCCCCGTGAGGAGCTCCAGTGGAGGACCAGCAGCTGGCACCAGGAAAAAGAACACCCACCAGGATCCCATGCTGCTGGGGACAAATGGCATGGGGCCCAGCCGGTCCACTGAGCAAATCCCAGAGGACATCCTGGGTGCTAGGAGGACACAGGGAGGTGCAAGGCCCAAGCCATTAGTCAGGGTGACACACTGGGTGTTGAAGCCTGGACACCGCCCAGATCCAACGGGGTGGTGACCCAGGTTTACCAGGCCCACCAGGCCCCACGCCTGAGACCTGCTCACCACTAGGTGCCAGAAGAGGAGAGGTCCTTGCCACAGGCCTTCCCAGGCTCACCCATCAGGGGAGAAGATGGCTGGTCAACCTATTGGGAGCACATGACCCCACTCCCCGCAGGTCCTGTCTGCCCTGAGTCAAGGCAGGGCAGGGCAGGGCAAGGCAGAGCAAGGACTG